CCAAGGGGCCGCTGCCACCCCTCCCAGGCTACCCTGTCGTGGCTTCGGTCTTGGCGCTCCGAGTGGGAAATGAGGAGCTCGGAGGGAGGCACACGGAGCGACCTCGCAGGCGGGTTTGCATCACTGGTGGGGACCCAGGCTCCGGGCAGCTTGCAGAGGGACCGGCCGCCTGCAGACCATCGGGGTCCGAGGAGAGGGGCACAGCGCACAGGAGGCCGCACAGGGGCCCTGCCGGGGACAGATGGCATTGGCTCTCCTCAAAGACCCCGGGAGGCGACAGCTGGTGGCAGGAAGGGCAGCACAGGCTCCCGCTTGTGGCTGAGAGAGCAGATGGCAACCTCGCGTGGCAGGCAGGGCGGGCGCAGAGCGTGGCACGCAGCCAACGCCTCCTGCCTCCAGACCCAACCTCCCCCCAGCCTCCCAGGCTGCTCTGGGCCTGGCACCCGAGATGCTGAGGCCCAGATCGGGGGGCGAGACCCTCCCCGACCAGAAGCCAAGATGCTCTCACGTGGCGAGCGAGGGAGGGGGAGAATGTGCCTCGGGCGGCTCTAGGCCGGCCTCCTGGGGGTGGGGCTTGCGGCTGAATGTGGAACAACCACACAGGAGTTAGCCAGGCCTGCGGGGGCACGGAGGGCAGCAGTCCAGGGCGGTGGCGGCAGCAGGCAGCAAGGGGAGGCAGTGAGGCTGAGTGGGGGGCAGATAAGGGCAGAGAGGTCAGGACCCCTGCAAGGCAGGGCCTCAGTGCCAGGCCTCAGTGCCCTGCAGGCTGCTTGGAGCAGGGGTCCCCCCAGTAACGGAGAAGGGCCCCCACTGACCACAGGGCGCAGCATGGACAAGCGAAGGGGCAGCAGGCAGGTCACTGCCCTGTGTCCGGAGATGCAGGGCCCGTTGCCATGGGGATGAGATTTAGGAGAGCATCCGTCCCCCAGATCTCAGGCTGGGCTGGGGGTGCCTCTCCCTGCACATGGGAATGGCCCGGGGGGCGGGGGAGTTGGCTGCAGCTGCCCCAGGGGGCAGATGGACCTGGGGCTCCAGGGGCAAGGGGAGCCCCTGCTGGAGCCAGAGGAGGGTGGGAACCGACTGGAGGTGGCAGGGCCGGGTGTCCCTGGGGCTGGGGCTCCGGGAAAGGAGAGGAGGTGGGTTTAGGGTCCTGCAGTCTCAGCTCCCTGGCTCCATCCTGCGCTCAGCAGGCACATCCCTGGGTCTGAGACACCTGCCCAGGGCGGGGGCCTGGGGCTGAGGCGCACGGCCTGGGGGAGGTCTGAGCCCGCTCCCCGCTCCCGCAGACGGCCTACCCCTTGCTGATGACCCTCTTCGAGCTGGCACGCAACCCCGAGGTGCAGCAGGCCCTGCGTCAGGAGAGCCTGCAGGCCGAGGCCACCATCTCTGAGAACCCCCAGAGGGCCGTGGCCGAGCTGCCCCTGCTGCGGGCGGCGCTCAAGGAGACCCTGAGGTGGGTGCGCTCATGGGCCCCCCGCCACCTGGACCACTGCCTGGGCTCAGGCACAGGTCCTGGGGCTGTGGGAGCTTTGCCCAAGGATGCACCCTGCCCGCCTCCCCCTCCCCCTAAGGACAGGGGTTCCTTGTCCTCCGGGCCTCACTGCAGGTCGCTGGGGCTGAGCTCGGGGGTCCCAGTCCCAAAGGGACCTGTGAGGGCGGGAGCCTGCCCTGGGCGGCCGTGCCCCACTGAAGACCCTGCTGCTGCCCCGTCCACAGGCTGTACCCCGTGGGCATCTCTGTGGACCGACAGGTGAACTCGGACCTGGTCCTGCAGAACTACCACATCCCGGCCGGGGTGAGTGAGGCCCGTGCTTCCGCAGACCCAGCAGGGACCTCCGCCCGCTGACCCCTGACCCGCCCTCCCGCCGCCCGCAGACGCTGATCACGGTGCAGCTCTACTACCTGGGACGCAACCCCTCCGTGTTCGCGAGGCCCGAGCTCT